GCTGGCAGCTTTCCCCTGGTACCCACTACAAACTGGCATCCAGAGATGGGTGCCTGACTTGAGGCCTGAGACAGTGATGCCCTTCTTCTGCTGGTGGCCATTTTTCCTGTCAAGGCAAAGAAGAAACTAAGGCTGAGACAAACTCTGATCATAGGGGTAAGGAAAAGGGGTGCGGTGCTATGTCTGCACCTTTCCCAATTTTCTGATCATGTAATTAATTGTGGGAAAGGCTCAACCCCTGGACGGAGCGATCTCCCCACCTGAGCCTTTAAAACCTAACATGAACTAGCTGCACAATATATAAATAGTCTTCTGGGTAAAAATAAATTAAGTTTCAAGAGGGAAGACTTACATGAGGAAATTTCTGAACTAATCTGGAAGCTCTAACTAATAGAGATCCTATATTACAAATGTGTTATCTACCAAAGCACCTCTCTGTCACCTGTAAACTCCTCTAGGGTAGGGAATAACAGGATAACAGACAGTGGCCAGAGTGGAGGCTTTGGGGCTGCATGTTACTGAATTCAAATTTAAGCGTCAATTACTATCTTGGAATCTCATGAGACATGCTGATGTTTCATTCTACCCTTCAACATCTGCATTCCCACTTCTAGGATATACACACAATCCTAATCTTGCAGGGTAGAAGAGATCAGATTAACAGCTCCTGCCATAAAAGCTTGCAGGGCGTCTCCTCCCCTTAACAGGATCAAGTTGAACACCTAACGAGGGAAGGGGGGAATGAGACACTTCTAGTCATCCCCTCTTAAAACAAATGGCACCTTTCCCCTACCTTGCAGGGCTGGGCTACAGAACAGACAGCTCTTGTCCTTAAAGACTGTCACAATGCTGTGCTCCAATAAGGCTGTCTGTTCTCTCCCCCTATGGAATGCTTCTCCCTCACTAAGAGGCAGACTAAGCTGCACAGCATTTCTTCCACCACTCCAGTTCACACTTTTCCTTCCTTGTCATCCTGCTCCCAAGAGAACACTCTCTGAGTGTTCCTGATTTGTGTGACTACACTGCAGTAAGGCTGCATGTAAGGACCTTCAGCCTCGGCACAGTATGGCTCCCTAGACCCACATCAGGAAGAAATTGCAGGAAATCACTTCATTGATTTCCTGTGCTCCCTAGGCACCCCATACCTGCTTACTGCAAGGCCCCATCTTCTGCATCTGTGTCCTGGCTGTGGTCCTGAGAGGAGGAAGACAAGCACAAATCATTCACCGTAGGTCACAAGTTCTACCCTGCGCTATCTGTTCAGGAATGTCCTGTGGCTCAGAGGACTGCTGGAAAGGAGGTCCAACTAAAGGGAACCAACCAATAAAACTGGCTTAGAATCCTGAGAGGGTTATCTGAAGATCCCAAAGTTAAGGGACCAGTCCTGGGATTTGCTAGTGTAACAGGGACACATTCTATGCATGGAAAGACCATGGACTACAGCAAAGCTTAAAGCCATATAGATCAGTGGTCTGCCCAACTCAGAGTCTTTAGAGCTTTTACTGAGAGTACTATGCCTAAGAGAATAAGATGAAGTACCAGGCTAGGCTTTAAAAAAGAAAGAAAAGAAAAACAAGTGTGGCATAGGAGGACTTACACCTATCACAGACCAAGTCTGAGCAAGGTACCTGGTAACTTTGAGCTTCAGCTTCTTCAAGGTAAATGTGGCCATTCTAATCTAATCTATTGTTAAGGTTAAAGTGTGATATTCAACTCAAGTGTTCACTAAACAAGCAGCAAACACTGTAGCAGGCATCTTGAGTGTTGAAAGAAATCAGACCTTTTCACTCAATTTAGGCCCTCTCATGGCTCCTAACCTCACCCTGAATACTTCCCATATATACAGGAGTTTACTCCTTTAAGAGACAGCCTGCTAGATGCTTGAAAGGCAATGGCTTTTAGAAAATTCTCATGTGAAATTAAAATTCCCATCTTCTCATGGCTTTCATCATCAACACCAACCATTCCTGAGAGGTTGTGTGTGCAACTCTTAGGCGTAATTCTCCTCCTCTTTAATACACCCAGAGTAGAAGGTGCACTGGGCCCTGGGCTTTGCTGAGGTCTGTCTAGTATTGAGTGGGACTTCGGACCAGCAGCTCAAACAATGAACTATACGCTGCTCATTCTTCCCTACTCCTCATAGGACTGGCACTCTGGAAAGCAGAAAGGAAGGAGCTCAGAGGGGGACAGCTCTAGCCCTTCCGAGTCACATAGCTAGCCAGGCCCTTACCAGTTCCTCCTCACTATGTGTTAACAGTCCTTCCTCATCGCCATCATCTCGAGTTTGGACTTCTCCTTGGGGTGTGCCTGCCTCAGAAGCCGTGTCTTCCTGGGGGGCCAGAGGCCGGCTGCTGCTGCAGCTGCCACTGCCACCACCACTGCTGCCACCGCTGCCGCTGCTGCCACCAGCATTGCCACTGCCGCCGCCACCACCACTGCCGCCGCCTCCTCCACCACTGCTGCTGTCACCCTTCTTCTTGCCATCTTGAGGGTAAAAGAAGTAGAAAGGACTAGAAATCAGCTGGAGCAGCTATGCAGCACACCTTCGTGAAAGTTGGGCTTTCACTACATATCAAGTCTCAGGGCCTGGAGCTTCAAATCCCTAGCCCTTGGGGCACACTATCTTCCCAAGGGCTGCCCTCAAAGCTGACCTGGGTTGGCCTTTTGTTCCTCAGCGATCTGTTCCAATCGACCCAACAGGGCATCGATGTTGGACTTGATCTGTGTCAGCTCTGTTTTGATGGTCTGTAGTTCGCTGCTCTTCACTGGGAGTAGAGGGGAGACAGGGTTATCACTTAGGGGTACAATGCAAACAAAACCCCAGCTTCATTCTATCAACTAGGGAAGCCATTCCTTTTTGGTTCTTTTCCTGCCAAGGAAAAGGGTCTCTTCTTGAGAGAACCAACGGGCCCCAGGGGTGACCAGTTCATAATCCGATCCTTGTCATTTGCCCTAGAGCTCCCATCCTATAGGGACTGCAAATACACAGGAATATAGGACTGGGCCATGTGGGTCATACATTTACAATCCCAGCACTTGGAAGGCTAATGCAGGGATACTGTGAGTTCAAAGTTAATCTGGTTTAAATTCTGAGAGCCTGTCTCAAAAAGAAAAACAATGTAGGTCTGTGGTGTGTTCTGGGAACACCTAAGTAATGGAGTGTCTTTTTAGCTGTGTTACAGGATGTGGTATGTTTTTAAAGGTACAAAAAAGGTCTTCTGCAATTAGATTTCCTGGGTGTCTGACTGCAGTATACAAAGACCAGAATAAATCTGAACTTATCCTTACTAGAGAAAAAACACTATCATACCACAGCACTGGACTTTCTTTAGAAATGCATCCAAACACTTGATTATTAAGAGTAACTTCAACTACAGATTTACTCCTTTCTCAGTGTTAATAAAGTATGATTCTGGAGGCTACAGAGATGGCTTAGAGGCTAAGAGCACTGGTTACCCTTGCAGAAGACCCGAGTTTGATCCCAAGCACAGACATTGACAGCTCAAAACTGTAACTTCTAACCTCCACTGGCACTGCATATACCCGGTGCAGAGACATATGCAGGCAAACACCACATACTTAAAATAAAAACAAAGATTAACATTTTAAAAATCAGTTGTTAAAAAATGTGATTCTATCATTTTAGTGATAATAAAAAACAAACCATCTGGAACAGTGGTTTTTCAACCTTCCAAATGCTGCGACCCTCGTGGTGTGGTGACCCCCAACGATAAGTTTATTTTGTTGCTGCTTTTTTAACTGCAATTTTGCTATTGTTATGAATTGTAAATATCTGATATCCAACCCCAAAGGGGTTCAAAAATCTAGAAAGATTGAAAGACGTCATCAGGATGTAGTGGCATACACATCTTTAATTCTAGCACCCAGGAGGCAGAGGTAGAAGAATTTTTGTGAATTTTACATCAGTCTGATTTACATAGTGCATTCCAGGCCAGCTAAAGATATACAGTGGAACCCTGTCTCAAAAAACAAAAACCAACAACAACAAAAGTCACTCACACTTGATCTTGGCTGAGCCAGTAGTGATGGCTGTAGAACGGGCAAAGAGCTTGACAGGTATTGTAGTTTTGACACGGCGAACCAAAGGGACTGTGACACGGGGTCTCTTCACTGGGACTGCCCTGGGCACAGGCACTGGAGAAAGGCGGCCTCTATAATCAAACAGCCTGCAAAGGCAAACAGACCAGAGGCTGCAGCATGGCCTGTGACCACCAGGAGGCACTACAATACTAACTTCACCTGTGTGACCGGAAAGGGCCAGGGAAGAAGTGAATGATTCCAACAAGCCCTGGTATGATGAAAGGGGTTTTCCAGATCCTAAAGGCTAATGAAAGAAAACCTTACTGTTTGCACCTACAGATTTATCCCCAGCCATGCTAGGAGAAACAGTATAAGGACAAACAGCCCAGTCTTAAAAGGAGCCTTTCCTGAAGGCACCGCCTTCTACTCAGATAATCACCCCACCTTCATCTGATCATACTGTAAAAATCAAAACAGTGAAAGTCTCCACCTGGAAACAGAGAGGTTTGAAAATGGGTGGCCAACCCTTGAACCTTAGTTTTCCCATCTACTTAATGAAGAGGGCTGTCCAAGTTCACTGACTACCTGAGTATGCAGGAAGGGTAGAGCATGAGAACCTCACTAAAAACACTTAAGAAGGTTTGACAAACAAAAGCTGGGTACTAGGGCACTGAAGCACTCATGAGGAACCCATGGCCTCAGACTTCTAAGCTCCTTTTTTCTTTTGGACCATTTCAACACCTTTCTTTTTCTCCAGAGATATATAGGCCAAGTGCTCAACATTATTTCGAGGATGGGCAGCTAAATTAGACCCAAGGCTGAGCAGGGAACTCTCCCACCACCTGTGCAATGACCATGGTTCTGAAGGGAAGCACAGCCTTGATCAGGGATATACTCTACAACTACTTTTTTGATGAGTCACGGTACCTGCCACCACTAGGATACTCAAGGTCCTGCTTCTTGGTACTCCTGTTCAAAGAGTCCTGCAGGTGGTGGCAACTAGTGATCAGTCTCTGGGAATGAATGCAATCCCCGATCCTTCAGTTTGACCCACAAGGGGAGATGATGGCTCTGACCCTGGAATCTCAAGAACTTCAGAAGTCCCGAGAGATCATTTGGTATAAGCCTATGTCACTGACTAGGAGTAGGAGAATTTGCCCAAGGATAGATACACCTATTCAGTGTCACGGCCGAGATTAGCATCCAGTCTCCTGAATTTCCAGATTATGACACTTAACACTTACAGCAGAGAAAATGGTTCAGAAGAATTCTTTTCCCTGGGCTGTCTGGACAAGGAAGGAGACCTTTTGATTTAATCGTCACCACAACTTCTAGTCAAGCACATGACCAGGAGCTGGCATTGTGTTTAGTCTTGTAATCCCTGCACTCAACAGGCAGATATAGGAGGATAATGAGTTTTTAAAACTTCTCAACAAACAAATGTGGCTGGGGCCTCTAGAAGACTTCAAGGTTGAAGTGTAGGTAGGATTGGAGATAGAAGGCAGATCACAACTCATCATGGACTAACGCAGGCTTCCAAATAACTAGGACTTCTTAGTCATAAGAGTCAGACCAAACTATCTGTAGGTCTGACTTTTTTGGCTGAGTGAGCACCTTACAGAGACAAAGACTGAACAGAGTTTATGGGCACTACCTGTGAAAGCACTGTGCCCAGGTGTGTTCACCCTTTAGCTATACACTCCCCTACGCTATAGAACTAAGAAGAAGCAAGGTAGTCAGAATGTGAGAGTTTGGTGTGACAGTAAGAGCTCTGGCCTGAGCACTTACAAAATGGGATCCTAGTCCTAGCACTGTCCCTGATTTGTGAAGCAACCCTGAAGCAAAGACTCACTCACATCTCTGTGTTTCAGTTCCCAATTGGAGGACTTTATGAGCCACACCAGCAATCTCTTAAGACCCTTCCAGTTTGGCTATTTAATGCCTTGACATGCCCCTTCCCTGCTCACCTCGAATAGAAGTAGTCTTGATAGTAATCATAGTCAAAGCTGTAGCCACTGGGAAAACAAAGGGAGATGGCTACTCAGCCCACTTCTCCACAGGTCCTCATCTCCAAAATCTTCCTAAATTCTAAGCTTGGTACACTGTCACTATCAGCATTTACTCCCTCTGTGAAAAGAGGGACCCAACCAATGCAGACCAAAAAAACAAAACAAAACAAAACAAAACAAAAACAAAACAAACAAAAACAAAAAACAAAAAACAAAAAAAAAAAACACAGAGCCTCACCTGTATATAGCAGTTGCTGCTCTCTTTAGCCCCTTGGGTCTATTGGGCTTGGGCTCTCCAGCCATGTTGATGTCTGTGTGGAGGGAAGACGCAGAGTTGGAATGCTAACATGACAGCAGTATGCCAACACACATCACCATCATGCCTCTGTGTATTTACACAGTGTACACATGGGACTGAGGTAGCCAAAGGTCTTTAAACATTTAATTTTCAAACATTACAAGAATACCAGGACATCATATGGATCTGCCTAGTTGTATATTCATATACATTCAGATATATACACAAGTCTTCACATACCATATAAATACATATTTTCAAGTAAATTCATATAAATCGGGTATATATGAACACATCTATACCCTCATATATACATAGCCTATAAGATCAAGGACTATTAAGTAAAAAAGCAAGCACATCTGCTCCCACACTCACAAATGCAATCACATCTGCATATCTTATATTCACTAATACATACATATAGATATACCTTCTAAAACACATACAAAGACGTATATGAGCAATCAAGCACATGCACACACACATACACACACACTGTAAGGTAGACACCAACAGTCATTTCATATGTATGTAATCAATAATGCCAAGAGCACGCATCTTCCCTTTAGTCCTTGTATTCACAGCTCCTCATAGCTTTTAGAAAGGGTTCTAACTCATATCTTCTGTAGATTGGGGTAACAGGCTATATTAGTTCATTTTGTTCCCTTTCTACGGAGAACCTGGATTTTAGCTGGAACCATAAAGCTTGTTATTAAGAGGCTATGGGGGTAGATCAGTGAGTGCACTGCTCAACCCACATCCGAGAAGCTGATCCTTGCAATAGACAGGAATTAACAGAGACCCAGAACTGAACATTGTGATACTTTGTAGCAATCAGTTCTAAATGTCTTCATCAAACCACTCCCCTCAAGGCACAGGGATCTATGCAGAAGAGGAGGAGGAAAAAACTGTAAGAGCCAGAGGTGGTGATGAACACTACAAAGAAATGGTGTCTTCCAGACACAAGACTAATGCATATATGAACTCAGAGGCTGTGGCAGCGCACACAGGACCAACACAGGTTCAAGACTAACTGGGTTGCAGCACTAAAAGGAGTTAAGTGGACAAAGGGTCCTACCCCTAAACAAGAAGCTATTTGCAACCGACATCTGTAGGCAAAAGGACAATCAGTTTTCTCCAATGGGGTGCCAGTGGGTCTATCAACCACATACCAGGAGCAGTTGGCCAGCAAAAACCAAACCCATGTTTTTTTTTTTTTTTTGGGGGGGGGGCTTTTGTTTGGCACTTTTATCTTTTTTTTTTCTTTCTTATTTAATTTTCCTTGTTTTTATTCATTTCTCTTTTTTTTGAGAAGGAGGGGGGAAAACAAAATTAGATGGGTAGGTAAGATCTGGGAGGAGTTAGGGAAGAAAAAAATATTCAAAATATATTGTATTTAAGAATTTTTTTAATTTAAGGGGGTGGGGGGAGGAGGCTATGAAGATCGGGGGGGAAAGGTGTTTGCCTCATAAGCTTGATGACACGAGTTTAATTCTTAAGAACCCACATAAAGGTGGAAAGAGAACCAACTCTAGCCCTCTGACCTCTACACAGGAACCATGGTTGACATATACACATATATATGTATGCAAACACTTTTTTTTCTTTTGAGACAGGAGCCCCCTTGTGTAGCCCTAGGTGTCCTGGAACTCGCTCTGTAGACCAGGCTGGCCCTGAACTCACAGAGATCCACTTGCCTCCCAAGTGCTAGGATTAATAGCACATGCCATCAAGCCCAGAAACAAATAATTTTTTTTTTTTAATAGAGGAATTGGGAAAGCAAGGACAGGAGAAAGGGGCCCTCTATAACCATGTGTTCTCCTCTTGGCACTCATTTAAGAATTACAAATATAATTTTTATCTGTTGAAATCATAAAATTCCAGGCAGTAGCTACTCAGAAGAGGTTAACTTACCCAGAGTCTGTCCAGCCAGCACCCGTCCATTCTCTCCTAGTACAGCTGCCCGGGCATGGCGTTCGTTGGCATATTGGACAAAGGCATAGCCTTTGTGCACAGAACATCCGGCCACACGGCCATACTTGGAAAAGATGGTTTCCACATCTGACTTTTTTACCACAGCTGTGTTTAGGTTTCCAATGAAGACCCGAGAATTGATGGACTTGGGGTCATTCTTATTGGTTACATTGCTGGTCTGAATCTTCAAGGACATGGTGTCCACCTGAAAAGATAACGCCAATGTGAAGCTGGGTTCCCAGGCCAGGCTCGGGGAATGTTCATGGCCAATAGATACCCTGACTAACCTGGATTGCTCCTTGCCTTTGTACACATTCTCAACCCTATGGTACCCATTCTCCCTGTTCTGGCATCCTGTTTTCTGGTGACATTATCAAGAGTTGCCACTTCCTGGCTGCTAATCTTACACTAGGTGCTTTACAACATTCCCTCATTTGGTACTCACGATACTGTACACAGGAAAACCCTACACTGGAAAGTCACAATGCTAGTCAACAGCAAGGCTGGGATTAACCAGTCTCTTAACTCCAGTTTTAAAAAATATTTATTTTTATTTCATGTGTATTGGTGTTTTTTCAGTGGGAAACTAGAAGTCACAGAGAGTTGTGAGTCACCATGAGGGTGCTGGGGATAGAATCCAGGTCCCCTGGAAGAACACCCAGGGCTCTTTAACTGCTGAGCTATCTCTCCAGCCTCGATTGCATTTTTTTTTAACCTTATATCTTTAAAAATATATCACAAATGAGCCGGGCATTGGTGGCGCATGCCTTTAATCTAGCATTCGGGAGGCAGAGGCAGGCGGATCTCTGTGAGTTTGAGGCCAGCCTAGAGCGAGGTCCAGAACAGCCTCCAAAGTCACAGAGAAACCCTGTCTCAAAAAAAAAAAAAAAAAAAAAGAAAAAGAAAAAAGAAAAAAAAAAGAAAAAAAATCACAATGTTACCCCATTTTAAAACTAAATAATTTTCTACAGCTTTTCTTTCTGTTCCTTCAACGCAGAACCATAACAAGGAGAACACATGGTAATTTCAAGAACAGTCCCCTATTATAAAAATTGCTTTGTCTGATCTAGATATACTTCATCTTTACTAACCCAGCCAGTAAAGTCTTTACTGTGCCAGCCACTCTGCAAAAACGTGTGCTTACATAGACTTACCAGGTACTCACTGTAGGCTAAGAGTAGCATATAATATTGAATGATCCCAAGAACTCGTGGATGAATACAGATTATTTTACCAGAAACTGAGACTCTGCTAATTGTTTTTTGTTAAGATTGTTAACTTGCTAATAAGAGGCATTTAAACACTTTTAAAGCCCATTTCTGTCAGCTTCATCACTGCTTCCTAGAGTTAAAGCCAATTTAAATAGTTAAGATAATGAATTTACCTGAGAATGGTCGTTAGTAATTTAATTTATTAGTTATTAACTTTATACAGACTCAAAATCTATTCGGCTTATAAACAAGTTTGCAACTACTCTTGTTATGTGTGTCTATACGCAGATCAGTAGAAGTACCAAGTCCACCCGCTTGTTCTTTTGTCCAGTAAGCAGGCATGGATAGCCAGCAAGCCTACCCATGATTTCTCTAGCACTGGTATTACAAGTGCATGCCCCTATACTTGGCTTTTTAAAATATATGTTCTGTTGGCCACAATGGAGCATGCCTTTAATCCCAGCACTCAGGATGTAGAGGCAGGTGAGTTCAAGACCAACCTGGTCTACATAGTAAATTCTTCAGGTCAGCCAGGTAGACTCTGGCTCTGGCTTTAAAAAAAAAAAAAAAAAAAAAAAAAAAAAAAAAGGCATTTTATCCTACAGAGTCTCTCTGCAGAACAGTTGTACCTTGGCATAAGCCCCAAGAGAAAGGAAAGAGGATGTTTAATTCCAGCAGGCAAGGTTTGCAGTCTGGTTGTGGCATTTGTACTTACTAGGCCCGTGTTCGGAGTGCAACTTGAATCTTATCTCCTAGGGCAGTTTCAGAAGGTATTAAATAACCTCCAAGCAGAAGGTATAAAAACCTTCATCAACCTGCATGTTTATTCTACCTAATACAGGGCTGGGGGTTGGGGGTTTCATTTCAGAGAAATAAGTAAGAATGCAAGTTGGAGAAATGTGTTATCTTTTTGTACTACCATAAAGCAAGGGCTCAGAGTTTAACTTGCTGCTACTAATGAAGAGGCTGATATGAGCTTTAGAACTAACTTGGACAAGACAGGTTCTTGTTAGTAGGTTTACTCTTACACCAACATTTATAAAGCAGTGAAGGACACAAGGAGATACCCAGGAACACAGCCAATATACTCTCCATAAGCATAGGAAATATTTAATGCTCCCCATTTTTCAGTTACAAAAATCCTCCTATCTGGATTCATTCAATGGTTAATTCCTTGTTCATTCACTAATAGAAAGAAACTTTTTAAGGTGCCTACATGACACTAGATGACTGATCCTGCTCAAAACTGTACAGAAAGATGCCATTTTGTTCAGCAGGAGGGAACCAACCAGGCTGCTGGCTCTGCCATTTATATGACAAAGACAGGGCAGTAGTGGATTCCCTCAGACTGTTAGGAGCCTCTAACACAACTGAGTAGGAAGCATTCACTGAGCTCCTTTGTGTAGTACTGTGTAGGGATCAGCACTCACTGGCTTGCTGGAGAACAGTCTTTCAGGTTTGGCTCTGCCAATCATTTCTCTCCTCACTTGAGCTTTGGGACAATAAATATAAAAGAACTTTGCAAACTGTGGAGGCCTTTACAAGATCCACTATTAGTATAATTCTATGTATTTGTCTCTTCTATTAATACCACCAGTAGTGGGACCACTCTAGATTAGAGTCATGATCAGACTGGAGCACATTCTTAGGATACCAAGAAGAGTCAACCTTGTCACCCTGTTCTGATCTATAGAGAAGACCAAGTATATGCACGTGCCTGCTAAATGGAACATGCTCTGGTGTCCAAATCCCAAACCCCCAATCTATATCCTCCCAGTTGATCTTTTAAGTCTTGCATGATGCTTTAGCATATAGGCTGTATGTTACTCTGTAGACTCCCTAAGCCCAGGAAGAGAGACGCACGTCTAGGGAGTTGTGGAACCCTCAAATGGTGCTACAGAGGTGTATGCCATACTGACTAGCTTTCAGGCCTGGTTTTCTAGTCTGATCCAAATGCCCACCCTCACAAACCAACACCCCCAACTTAATAAACACCCCATTTTGTTTCCCCCATTTAGAAAAAGGCAAAGTAGCACATAACTAAGACTGGCCTGAAGGATGATGATCTTAAGCTCCTGATCCTCCTGCTTTTCAACTGCTGGGATTATCAGCATGTGCTACCACATCTAGCCTCTTTCTGAATTTTTCAAGAGTGGGGGTCCTAAAATATCAATATCCTTTTCAGCAAAAACTATCTAACTTGATAAGCTAGTCCCCACTACCAGCCAAACTTTGCTTTATAAATTGTGTAACTAAGAGCAAGGTACCAACAACTCCAGAGGTTTTTATGCTTAACAATAAGCTGAGGAGAGGTGGGTGGTAGGCCTGGGGAGGGCAGAGGTCATACAGCAACCACATGTGTTGTTAGAGATATCTGTAACGTCAGATTAGCAGGGTCTTTGGTGATATGTTCTTACTGAGACCCCCCCCCAAAAAAAAAGAGGAGCAGAACCTGGCCAGGATACCATGGTCCATAAACCTCAGGGTTTGAGGTGTCCTCTAGCTCTAATCTAGGTTTTCTGTTGTTGTTTTTTGCCTTTGCCCTTCAGTATCCTCTCTCCCTCTCCATCCCCCCACACTCTCCCAACCTCTCTCTTTAAACACAAGAGTTTCATGTAGCTCAAGCTGGCCTTTAATTCATCTCCCTACTTCCACTTCCCAAGTAAAATGACAGGCCTAGGCTATCACACCCTACAAAATCAGGATTTTTGTATTATATTTTTTCCTTTAAGTGAGATGGGCATCCAGGAAAACATGGAGCAGAAAACAAAGACAGCATCTCAAAAACACTGCTATGCTGGAGAAAAACTACAGGAGGCTGCCTCCTAGGCCAATGTCTTCACTTGCACTTGCTAGATAAACAACTGCTAAAAAGCTGGAGCCTTAAACTAATTAAACCCCACCAGGGACAAAAGCTTTGAAATGTAATTACAGCTGGAAGGGATGGGCCAACTTCTCCAAGTTAGTAAGAAATTTGGCAAAACACAAACCATTTTCCCAAATTCAAACATTTCATATAGAAATTATGATCTAGAACACAAAAGCCAACACTAGAAAGAAAGAAAAAAAACCAAAGAGCTTTGCAAATGTAAAAGTCTTAAAAGGTACCTCCCAACTCCTAAATTTTGGGTAATTGAGAATCTTCCCAAAAACCTCTTACAGTAAAAAGAGCCTCTGATTCTGAGTACCAGTGCTTCCTGCATCTCTTCCCATTAATCTTCACATAAGGATTTACTTTAAATAGGAAGATGAGACAAAGTAATAAGTTAATAAAGCAAAGCCACAAATGGAATTCAAGTCTGTCTCAAAACAAAACAAAACAAACAAATACAGGCATCCACAGGGGCCAGATTGTGTGTGCAAAAATTCCCAAGGTAATAGTTTCTAGGGCAAGATACTCATCTGTGTCAAACACACACACCCTCCTTGTCCTTCCCCTTTCTACAATTCTTCAATTTGCACAGGACTTTTATGAATGCCATGGATCTCTGTCAGGCTCTGCATTCTTCCGTCAAATTCTACGTTGAAACCTAATTTCCAACATGAACACGTATTAGCCTGAGCTTAGAGATCAACAGGCCTTCTGTCCATCCCTAGCTGCCTGGTAACCAAGAGCAGGTGAACCAAGGAGGTAGTAGATACTTTGGGGAAACTGGTTAGCTTCTCCAGAAATGGTTGTCTTTATCTTTGATAGCAACATTCTTTCCAAACCACTCAGATATCCCCCAGGGTATCTAAGGGCAAAAGGCAACAGAGTCTTTAGAAGGTGATTAGGTCATAAGAACCAACTCTGCATAAATGGGTGTTAGTACCTTTATAATATAAAGAGCCTCTTGAGGGCTGGAGAGATGGCTCAGGGGTTAAGAGCACTGACTGTTCTTCCAAAGGTCCTGAGTTCAATTCCCGGCAACCACATGGTAGCTCACAACCACCTTGAATGAAATCTGGTGCCCCCTGCTGGCATACAGGCAGAAGACTGTATACATAATAAAAAAATAAATAAAAATAAAGAGCCTCTTCAGAACTATCTTTTTCTTTCTACAATGTAGGAACACAACAAAAAAGACCTGTCCTGGAACCATGGGCACACTTAACCAGATGCCTTCATTTTGAACTCTAGAACTTGAATAAATAAATTTATTGCTAATAAAACAGCAATTTTGTCATAGAATCAAAAAGGGCTAAAATAATATCATTGCTGGTCATCCCCCTATCCCTTTTAAAGGCTGAAGATTTTTTGAAGTTATATGATTTATGTAAGGTCAAACAGCTATTGAGGGGACCTGACATTACACAGTCTAGACTTATCCACTGTAAACCTGACTCTAACTTTGTCATGCCTCCCTCATTAGGCTTCCAATCCTGCCTCTCAGATTGAATTAAGTCGTGTTTAAACCTGCCTAGGACTGGACCTGTTCCTCATGGAATGTTTACTTCCAAAGAGGAGCTGCTTCTCTTGGTCTTGTTGCCCCAATGCTGCTTAGTTTTAGCCAATCACGTTGGGTTACTTTTGGTTTTTTTCCTGCCTTTACACCCTCAGATAACCCTAGGGCAGCAAGTAGTAAAGAGCTGTCAGTGATAGGAGACTATCCCTGGAGGAAGCCAAGCAATTAGATGGATCAGTGTTTAGGAACTCCTCAGTCCAGAGAACCTAGTTACCAGGCAGCCATGGGTGACAAAACATCTATTAATCTCATTAAACTCTTCAGGCCCCTACTCATTAACACTGCCCAAATGATCATCACTGGCCAGACAGAACTAATTTCCCAAGTAGCACTGACATTTCCACTCCCATGAGAAACCCCAGCTCTCAACTAGCCAACCACAGAAGGCTTTCTAGAGACATGAAAGTACAAGCTGAACTGGCTATAGACGCATAAGGCTCCACTTTGGCTTGGCTGTTCATACCACCTGAAACAAGTCATGTGATTTCTACAAACAACAACACCCTTATTCTGAAAACAGAAAGCATCTCCCTCTATCTTTTCAGTGATCAAATGAGCTAACCAATGTGAAAGTGCTCTGTTGTATCTGCAACAAATTAATGAAAAGATATAGGATTATACCTATTTCTCTTACTGCCCAATTACTATCCCTCACATTCAACAACCACTTTTGAGTGTTTCCAATACTGGCCTTGCTGAGAAACCAAGTAGAGACTGCTCTCTTGGTTGTCAAGAAGCTCTCTTTCGACAGACATAGTGGCACAGGCCTTTAATCCCAGAACTTGGAAGGCAAAAGCAGGTGTATTTCTGCAAGTCCAGGCCAGGGTAGTCTAAATAGTTTCAGGCCAGCCAGGGCTACATAGTTAAGATCCTGTCTCAAAATAAAAAAAAGAAAAGAAAAGAAAAAAAAAAAAAAAGGCATTTTTGGGAATCCAGTTTGTTACTGTTGTTAGTTTCCCACCCCACCCCCAAACACGATGAAATAGCAAAAACAGCATAAACTTTAGAATCAGGTAGGACTGAGTTCCAAATCTAGTCCTGTCAACTTATGAGCTCAGCCCTAGCACTTGCTAGGCTTCAGAATCCTCAACTGGCAAGCAGAATTAAAGCTATTCTGCTATGGCCAGAGATAGTTTGCAGGGGGCCAGTGAGATGGCTCAGCTGATAATGGCACTTGCCACCAAGCCTGAGATGGCTCAGCAGTTAAAGAGTACTGACTGCTCTTCTGGTGGACCCAAATCCAATTCTCAGTGTCCACATGGAAGCTCGTATCTTGTCTGCCTCACCTGCTTCTGTAAATGGACCTACAGAGTAGGCTGGCAAAAGTTTGAAATGGGACAACACCTCAGTTATGGCCTTCTATTCCTTTGATAGATGCACACTTATTCTTGTCCTGAAGGAGAACACAATACACAGCACCTTTAACGGAGAGGCATGGAAGCTTTATACACAGGATTCCTTAGGATCCTGATCAACCTAATGAAATTAGTATCCACATCATTCTACAGATTAAAAAGCCAAGTCTCTGGCTGGGGATGTAGCTCAGTAGTAGAGTACTTGCTTAGCATGCATGAAGTCCTGGGTTCTCTCCTCTGTACCACAAAGGAGGAAATTTAAAAAACTAACAAGCAACCGAGTCTCAGAGAGCCACAGTAATTAGTCTGATTAGAGTGAGAAGACTAATGCAACTTTGATCATTTATGTTCTTCCTTCTCCATGAGATCACTCTCAGTGATTTCTCCATCCATAAGAATGATCCTGCCTTTACCAGTAATGTCCATATAATCTATACAATATACATTATACTGGTAAACTGCCTTGTGCTACTTGAACTCACTGAGAAACTAGTCCTCGAATCAGGGTTCCCTTGCTGTTTTCAGACCCAAGCATGTTTGTCTCAAAAGTATCCTCCAAGGCCCCTTATCTAAAGATAAATTGGTCCTCTTAACTGGGTGGTGTCTTTCAAATTTGTCTTGTCAAATCTCTGACAAGGAGAAAAAGTACAACAAAATAACCCCAAAGTAAAGCTATTTGATTTGAGAATAGCTAAAAGGTAAAAATGCTATCATTTTTCCCACAATATAAAACTACCTACAGTGGTAAAGAAAAGCTCAAAGTCCAGCCATGGAGAAAATATCAAATTGGGTACTATGCTATTTGTTCTTTTACTTGGGACCCTCACTCAAGGGGGACACTACTAGGGACTCACTATTGGGAACTCTAGCTGATTTGACTGACTTAAAGAGGCTTCCCCCAGTGAATTTCTGCTGGATGTTTTAAGAACTTGATATGATGCTTTGCTTGCCTATCTATCATCTATCTGTGTATCTATCTATCATTTGATATTTTTTTTTTTTTTTTTTTTTTTTTTTTTTTTTTGGTTTGTTTGTTTGGTTTTTGAAGACAGGGTATCTCTACAGCTTTGGAGCCTGTCCTAGAACTCTCTTTGTAGACCAGGTTGGTGCACCACTCCTGCCCGGCCGATATTTATTCTTTTATTTTGGGTGCTATATACTTAGCTCATTTGTTCAAAACCCAAAATATGGCTGCCATAGGTCATCCTCTGGAACACAAAACATTAGATTTTAGACAACAAAAGACCCTTCCAGGTCTGTATACATGGGCAATCATAAAGAGTCCTTACTATCTACCTCAACTATTTTATCTTTTAAGCCTCTTACTGAAGCAGATGATGGTGTCCCACTGAAGCCAGAGGTGGCACAAATCTGAGTGAGACCAGACAAGAGTTAGTTCAATGGCTTCAATGCTGAGTCTACGGTTGGTCAGCTTCTGATCCTTCAGGCAAATTCATGTGGTCTTTCCTAGAGCACACTCACAAGCCCAAGAGCCAATCCACAATTACTATGAAACTGCAAAACAGACCCCTCCCACTTCTCATACCTCACGAGGCTGGCTCCTCACAGTGATAATGTAGCAAGATTAGTCACTGCTTGCTGTTGCTTGATTATAGCTATTCTTTGCTGTAAATGAAGTTTAAAAATCATCAAAGGGTTTGTCAGCTGTGACTTATGAGCTTTTTTCCTGTAGGGAAGTCAGGCAGTGACAAATGCCCCTCTTGTTCTGCTATCCATTATAAGTTGGAAAGTGCCATGTTCCAATTACTGGAGACCCCAATACAGTGCACAGAAAACCTTGCTCCAGGCTGCAGCCATTACTCAGGCCTGGCAGGGCTGCCCCAGGCCCAAGCCCCATAGAGTAACAATAGACAAGAGTACTTTTTCTGACTTTTGAGCCGGCCCCTTCTACCTTTACCTTATAATAACCCTGGTTGTTTACTTTAGACACATCCCATAGTGCCATATTGGTTATCTCAAAGTATTCAGGTTAGAGATTGCCTAAAATAGACATGAGGAAGTAACATTATTCGTATGTATGTATGTATGTATGTATGTATGTATGTATGTATGTATGTATGTATGTATGTATTCATTCATTCATGGGGGCTGGAGAGATGGGTGGCTCAGTGGTTAAGAGCACTGGCTACTTTTCCAGAAGTCCTGAGAGTTCAATTCCCAGCAACCACAGTGGCTCACAACCATCCATAATGAAATCTGGTGCCCTCCTCTGGCCTGCACGATACATGCAGGTAGAACTCTCCTCTCTCTCTCTCTCTCTCTCTCTCTCTCTCTCTCTCTCACACACACACACACACACACACACACACACACACACACGTAAATAATATGAAACATGATCCTCTAGAGGAAAGGCATAAGATAAAATACCTAGGATGTTCAGATAAAACAAACTGAAAACCTCTATTACAATCAGTGGCCACAGTATTCAATACCCATTAACACGCTAAGCCCTGATCATGCTAGATACTAAGGAATGTAAGATGATAAAATATGGTCACTCAATCATGGCAAGTAAATGAGAAAATTAAGAACCAGACAAAGTGACTTGCTTAAGGTCAAAAACTAAGTTAGGTTAGTGACAGAATTGGAACTCTACTGTGTAGGGGATGCTGTAGCCAGCCCCTAAGCAATTATAGGGGATGCTGTAGCCACACCTGCTTAGGGCCTAGCTAAAGGTGTGCCTGACCACGCCTGTGAGGGCATGGTGAGGGTGATGTAGAGTGAGGGACACTTTCGTGGTAGCCTGCTTTCGGTTTCACTTTTAGCTTGCTGTACAGATTGCTGCCCACCAGCTGGCTAGGTCACTCTGTAAGTAAGGCCTTTTCCCTATTAAAATCCCTTGTATTTCTACCTGGCTCCATATTGGTAATTTCCCACATTATCTGGTGTCAGAAGTGGGATATTGTAAATCTAGCCTCCATTTGGGACAGCCTGCAGGTCCCACCTGGACTGCGGCCTAGGCAGGGAAAGATCCCTCCTTCCACAGGTGCTCCCAGCCTACCCGCCGCACCACACAAGCGCTTTCTGGCTGCTGATAAGCTGCTGAGAACCGACAGCCCAGCTAGGAAATTTCCACAGACCTCCCCATGGTTACTGTCGAAGTTTCTAGCTGCAGCCACCAGAACAGCTCGGACTGCAGCCTACCCATGCCCGGAGGCTTCCTGCCCTTAGCCGAGAGGCCTCGGAAGTAGGCCTTGGCTTTCAGCAGCCCCCCACCCTCTCTTCCCCTTGCTGCTGCTTTAAAGCCACATCTCTTTCAGAGGTTGCGGCTCCAACGCCATATACTCTCTAAGATAAGCATAGCCACTTTTGTGACCTCTTTCCACCTTTGTGACCATCTTGCCTGACCGACCACTGCCAAAAGCGGTGCTGAGTAGCTGAATGCCTGCACCACCTGCTGGTCAAAGATAGTTACTGCATCTGGAGTAGAAATCAGGTAAAATTATGGCAGAATATTTATCATTTGCTAAAATTGATAATATTTTTGCTTATTACGTGAATTCAGTGTTTGAGGAGGATGCTAATCTGCCAATTACCAGACTTATGCCGTAATGGCAGTTAGCTTGCTGATACAAGTAATATTACTAGCCAGAGGGCTCAGGAACAGGGACAAAGATAACCTCACCACCTGCTTGCAAGAAATAACAGCTTTACGCAATGAGGTTTTGGAGAACAGATTAGGTCAGATCACAATTGTGCAGCAAGTGGAACAGAAATTGGATGATAAGCTTGGCTCTGTGTCCAATACGCTAAAGACAGAGTTGTCTGTTACCCAAGATGAGATGCAGCATATTAATGATAAGATAAACACAGAGAGATCCTCCATGTCTGAGGCGTTAGAGGCTAGGGTGTCAGAGGACCATGTGAACTAAAGAATATCTGTAGCCAGCTAGAAACTCAGATAGACACTGTTACCCAAAAACTAGATGCAAAGGTGCAAAATACCCAGGATAGGGTTGAAGAACTGGACAATGCCATTCCATCAATTATTGAAGCATCTAAGGTAGCAGATCACAAATTTGAGTCTATATTTGAATGTTTAGAAGATAATTTACTACAGTACAGGACTGACAGATTAGATAGGTCCATATGGTCGATTGCTGAGGACTCAAAATCAGCAAATCATGACCTCGAATCTAGACTCAAATACCTAGAAGGCAGTTTCCATACTATCCAGATGTTGCCTAAGGACTACCGTATTAAAGACCTAGAAAAATGTGTAGAGGAGCAGTTAGAGCAATTTACAGATTCACTAACATGCTTGGAATCTTTTATGATTAAGGAGATTGAAACTTTTCATAAGGATGCCATTACTAGGCTTAAAGATCATTGGGATGCCTCAGAGGCAGAATCACTCCAATCTGAGGCACCTACTCCACCCAGCTATCATGACTATTCTTCTAAGGTTGCTTCTCGTACGCCATTAGTGTACCCAGCTACCATGGTAGAAAAGCCAGCCCCTAAGCAGGCGTGGCTACAGCATCCCCTACACTACGGGACAAGGAAGAGTTCTTTTGCACACTCTATGCAGAAAACAGCATAGCTCCATGCAGATCCAAATTCACTTACAGCCCTATAACGTACCCAGTCTCAGAAAAAATGTGCTTTAGTGTGGTGGTGAGGATTAAGTGATGTGAACAAGTATATTAAGTAACCCAAATATCTACCATCAAATCATCAATAAAGCAATTCTTTGAGGTAGGTATTGATTGTTTAATAGACCAGAAGACTGAAGTTCTTTTCTATTTTATCATACTAATAATAACCAAGTAAGCCAGTATTTCTCAAAACTATTCATGAAGGATTAGTTTTTTGTTTTTTAAAATTCTAATCTATTATATTTTTTTCTGGTTTTTGGAGACAGGGTTTCTCTTTGGAGGCTGTCCTCAATCTCACAGAGATCCGCCTGCCTCTGCCTCCCGAGTGCAAAATTCTAATTTATCACACCTAAGTCCTGATAGAAGAAAATGCCAAGCAACCAAGGTTTCTAAATATTTACTCTCAATTTTTCATACTTAGAGTGAACTAGCAATAACAGATAGGTTCCAGGCCCTGCCCTATCAAACACTAGAAAACAAAACAATTAATTTCATTTCTTTCAAGTCATTAAGTCATTTAGCTTGAATTTTTTAGACTTTGATGTCAAGACTACTTTCTAAAAATTGCCACCACCATCCTTTTAAGAGCAAAGAGAATAGGCAGGCCAAGGATATGTTCTTCTAGGGGTAATTTATCTTGGTTATCTACTCTGTAGATCATGTACAAGGGAAGATGATTTAGGTTTAACAAGAACTAGAACAAACTTCTGGTGCCAGAGGCCTAAGAAGAGGACATATTCCAGAAGAATGATATTCCTGGTTTGTCTTTCTATACACCAAAAGAAAAAGGAAACCAAGCAGGATTGAAAAGCCATATCCAGACCCTGAGAGACACACATGGTCCCCTGGAGAAGGGCAAAGAGACAAGATCTGAGCAAATTGGGAGCATGGGGGTAGGGGGGAGAGGGATCTAGGAGAATGAGAAGGGGAGAAGAGGAGGGGTGAGGAGGACATGACGGGGCAGGGAGGTTGAGTTGGGGGAAAAACAGAAGAAAGCAAGGTAAGAGATACTATAATAGAGGGACACATTATAGATTTAAAGAGAAATCTGGCACTAGGGAAATGTCGGAGAGCTACAAAGATGATACCAACTTACAAGCTAAGCAACAGAGGAGAGGCTACTTTAAATGCCCTCCCCTGATAATAAGACTGATGACTAATTTATATGCCATCCTATAGCCTTCATCCAGCAGCTGGTGGAAGTAGAAGCAGACACCCACAGCTAAACCTTGAACTGAACTGAAATCCAGTTGCAGAGAAGGAGGACTGATGAGCAAGGGGTCCATACCAGGCTGGTGAAACCCACAGAAACAGCTGACCTCCCCAGTTGGGAAACCAGCATGGGACTGATCCAGATCCCCTGAATGTGAGTGCCAGTGAGAAGACCTCAGAAACCTATGGCCCCTTGTAGTGGATCAGTACTTATCCCTAGCATAGGAATGGACTTTGGGAGCCCATCCCACATGGAGGAATACCCCCTGAGCCTAGACATAAGGGGGTGGGCCTAGGCCCTATCCCAAAGGATATGATAGACTCTGAAGACCCCCTACATAAGGCCTCACCCTCCCTGGGGAGTGGAAAGGTTATAGGATAGGTAGGGTATTAATTGGGGGAGCAGGGGAGGAGGGGAGGGAGAGGGACCTGGGGTTGACATGTAAAATAATAATCTAATTAAAATAAAAAATAAAAAAAGACAAAAAATAAAGAAATTCAACCAAAAAAGAAAAAAGAAAGAAGAGAGGCCAGGCAGTGGTGGCGCACACCTGTAATCCCAGCACTCGGGAGGCAGAGGCAGGCAGATCTCTTTGAGTTCGAGACCAGCCTGGTCTACAAGAGCTAGTTCCAGGACAGCCTCTAAAGCCACAGAGAAACCCTGTCTCAAAAAAACAAAACAAAACAAACAAACAAACAAAATGAAAAGAAAAGCCATGTCCTACATTTGTTACTATTTGTGTGAGTGTACATGTGTGTGCATGAGTGCTTGTGCATGTGTTTATGTGTGGA